TGTGTGAGAGAGAGTGTGTGTGTATCTGTGTGTGTGTGTGTGTGAGTCTATGAGAGAGTATGTGTGTGTGTGCCTGTGAGAGAGTGTGCATGCGTGTGTGTGTGTCTGTGAGAGTGTGTTTGTGTGTACGCGTGTCTGTCTGTGAGAGAATGTGTGTGTGTCTGTGAGAGTGTGTGTGTGTGTGTCTGTGAGAGTCTGTGTATGTGTGTTTTTCTGTGAGATAGTGTGTGTGTGTATGTGTGTTTGTGAGAGAGTGTGTGTGTCTGTCTGTGAGCATGTGTTTGTGTCTGTGAGATAGTGTGTGTGTGTGTGTGTGTGAGTATATAGTGTTGTGGGGTCCCCTGTAGTGTGACATGTACCCAGGTTCCCGGTTGAGGCCTTCCTTATGGGTACCGAGCTTGGCTATTAGCTTGTGCTCGGCGACTTTGCGTTGTTGTGTATCCTGTGCTCGTCGTCTTTGCATTGTTGTGTATCCTGTGCTCGTTGTCTTTGCGTTGTTGTGTATCTTGTGCTCGTTGTCTTTGCGTTGTTGTGTATCCTGTGCTCATCGTCTTCGCATTGTTGTGTATCCTGAAGTCTGCCTTGGTGGACTTCTACCCGAAGGTCCGAGGCTGAGACTCTGTGACCGCTGACCTAATATCCTTGACCTAAAATGTCACCTTTTACACTGATAAAATCTTTAGTTGTCTCAGGGCAGTGACTTGAAAGGAATTCGGGGATTTACATATACATATTAATCAATTTAAACCTTCTAACTGATTAAAGGTTTAACAACATCTTAGATTTGTTTAATACATCCTCATTAGTGGTGTGACCCTTTGATCTTTTACTTATAAATTCTGTGTTCTGTGTGCTTCTTTCTCACTAACACCTGATGAAGGGGCTACGTTCTGAAAACTTGTGTTTTTAAATGAGCCTGTTGGACTATAACCTGGTGTCGTGTGATTTCTGACCTTGTCCTCTGTGAGAGAGAAAAAATAGTCTCTTCATCTCTGTCTTAAATGGGTGACCCATTATATCTGAACAATGACTCTTTGCTCTTGAATATTCCACCGCAGGAGACATCATGTCCACCTCCAACCTGTCAAAACTCCTCAGGACCTTATATTACAATCAAAACATCTTTTACTCTTCTAAACACCTGTAGATACAAGTCTCATCTGTCTGGCGTTGCCTCACATGACAATCTCCCATTCTAAGTCTTAGTCTATTAAACCTGTCTAAACTGTCTCCAATGTATTTACGTACATCCTTAAATAAGATGACCAATACTGTGCAGCGTACTCCACATACAATCTCACCAAAGTCCAATTATTGATGTATTAGCTCCCTACTTTTGTATTCAATTCTCCTAGCAAAAAATAATAGCATTCTATTAGCTTCCCTAATTAGTTGCTTGTTTTATTCATTCATGCAATACGGGCATCACAGGCTGGGCCAGCATTTGTTGGCCATTCCTAGTCACCCTTGAAAAAATGGTGATGATGTACCTACATGTTTACCTTTTGCGATTCACGCACTAGGACATCTAGATCTCTCAGCATTACAGAACTCTGCAATCTGTTAGCATTACATAAAATGAATTTTTAAACAAATTATTTCTGCCAAAATGGATGCTTCACATTAGGGTTTAGTTCCTGCGATATGGAGAACTGTTCTGCGCCCCTCCCCTCCAAAAACCAGGCTGTCAAACAAATGGGAGCATACATCACCACTGTGCGGGACTGATGTGCTTTACTGAACATAGGAGATTAACTGACCAGGTTAGGCTTCCAACAAGAACAAGGTGGTTGAAAATGCCATCCCTGAGAGCTGTTACAGACTGACAAATCACCATCTGGAGCAATAGCTGCTGCAAGTAATGACCTGACCATTATCCAGAGAATTGTTGCTGGATCCTGGAGAGAAGTGAGTTGCCTAGATGGGGTTGAAAAAGGCAGTGGCTCAGAGGTAAGGACAGGGAGAAAACCCCAGCTTTCCCTATCCCTGGTTCTTTCACTGAGTGCCCATCAATGTAGGAGTCCCTTTATGTGGCTGTAGGTAAATCCAAATGAGAAACCACTGCAGGTTCCATTAAATGCCTAATCCACCATTAAATTCCAGTGGGACCAGGGATAATGAGTGCCTCATTAACAAGCTTCATTGGTGTCTCAGTGCCAGCAGGTGAGATTCCACATCAGGTCCTTTCTGTCAACAAGGGTTTTCCCAATGCTGGGGTTCAGTTCCTTGTTATTCAAGTAGTCCATGTTTAAATGTAGCAAGACCTGGACAATATGCACACTTGGGTTGATAAATGGCATGTAGCATTCATGCCATGCAAATTCCAAGCAATAGCCATTGCAGCATTTTGGGGGCTGGATTGAAACAGTAACTCTGTTTTTCTCTTCGCAGGTGCTGCCAAACCTGCTGAATTTCTCCAGTGATTTCTGTTTCTTTGTTTTATATCTCCTAAATCTACAGTTCTTCATTTCATTACCATAAGAAGTCCAGTAGTCACTTTTACGTTATAAATGATGTCAACGTTCCTGTCCCCAGCAGAGGGCAGGAGGATACAACCTATTACTGTAGTACACGCTGTTAACTGCCTCAGCAAATTTGCAGTGACACATTTCTTCCTTAATCAATACTTAGTAATCCAGGCACCAGATTCAACAATATTTTATGATTTACTTTTTAGAAAACATATTGGGAGACCAGATTCAACCATAACAATGACTGAAACAGCCATTTTTTCAGATATTATCATTGTCTCATAATATTAAATAGCACTTAACCAAAACCCTCAAACAAGAAAATAATTGAGGGAACTAAATACCTGTTAGCAATTCCATTGAGATATCATTGAATGACATAAACTCAGCACAGAAATTAATTTTGATGATAAGGAAATACAGGCGATAAATGAAGGTGCCATCAGCTTAGTCATCTGTTTATTGTGGATTAGTTTCCTTTGGTTACATAGAGACATAGAAATTAGGGCCAGGGGTAGGCCATTCAGTCCTTCGAGCCTGCTCTGCCATTCAGTATGATCATGGCAGACCCTCTATCTCAATGTCATATTCCCGCTTTCTTCTCATATCCCTTGAAGCATTTAAAATCTAAACTAATCTCTTTCTTGAATATATTCAGTTACTTGGCAACCACAACTTTCTGTGATAGAGAATTCTGCAGGTTCTCTATCCTTTGAGTGCACAAAATTTTCCTGACTTCAATCTTAATTGGTCTATTCTGTCCTCTGTGACTGTGTCCCCTGGTTCTCAACTCTCCAAGCAGAGAAAACATCCTGCCTGCATCAACTCTCTCTAGCCCCTTTAGAACTTTATAATATACTAGTTTCAAACGATTCCCCTCTCAAACTTCAGAACTGTAGTGAATGTTGGACCAATTGAACCAGTCTCTCCTCAAAGGTCAATCCTACCATCCACGGTATCAACCTAGTGAACCTCCACTGCAGTCTGAATGGCAAATATATCTTTTCTTAGGAAGGGAGACCAAAATTTAACTGTTATACAGTTAATTGCAGTTAAATATATATCTGACTGACACAGAAGATGTTGAACTTGACCCAAAATGGACATAAAGTTGGTAGTGCATCCCACTCTCTATACTCCTGTAACTCTGAATTATCTCCCCCGTCTTCCCTAAACTGTTTCTCCATTTTATCCTCAATGGTGTCCATGTTCACCTTGCCATCTCCTATGGTTTCTATAACATACAAGATCATTTGCATCACTTCCTTAATCACACCCACATCCTTATACATCTTTCCAAGCTCATTTCCATCTGTATTTACCCTGGAAGAAATCTCCTAGGTTATTCAGAATTGCTCTTTCCCATTCCCAGCAGCCTAGCCTTTGGCTGTCCATTCACTATAGCTCTGCAGCTATTGATCTGCCCAACCCTTCCCTCATATTCATTTTCATAGAATTCCTACAGTGTGGAAACAGGCCCTTCAACCCAACAAGTCCACACCAACCCTCAGAGCATCCAACCCAGACCCATTCCCTTTAAACCCACTTAAATCTACACATCCCTGAACACTACAGGCATGGCCAATCCACCGAGCCTGCATATCTCTGGACTGTGAGAGGAAACCGGAGGAAACCCACGCAGACACGGGGAGAATGTGCAAACTCCACACAGGCAATTGCCCGAGGATGGAATTGAACCTGGGTCCCTGGCACTGTGAAGCAACAGTGCTAACCACTGAGCCACTGTGCTGCCCTTTTGGCATCCTTATTGCAGCAAAACCTTTAGTTCCTCCTTTAGCCTATTCCTGTTGATCTATAGAGTGTGGCCTCAACTTCTTTCCTTGGTTTAACTATTGGCTTAACCATCTATCACCAGATCTGTGAACTTTGTTTCAGTGTACCTCCTTGCATGCCAGTCATCCCACAAGAAACCTTGATTTACAATTATTTAAAAATAATTATTCAATAATAATTTCTATTAAATATTTTGGCTGTTCTTTTATGTCTGTGCTCTGCAATGAGATTGTTCTCATCATTTCTATTAGATTTGTGCTGTGAAATCCTGACATTGAGGATTTGAATCCAGAATGCAGATCTGGTTACTTTTTGTTCTGATCAAGCTGGTGAACACTGAAGTACTCAGAAAGGAGATGTGTACAGGTGGACATCCTGGAATTCCAGGAAATCCTGGTCACAATGGAATACCTGGAAGGGATGGAAGAGATGGGTCTGTGGGCAAAAAAGGGGATACAAGTAGAGTATTCATATGCCTTTGCCATTTTTCATAATTATAAATATTGAACTTTACGCATTTCTTTACAGCTAGCTAATCTGATAAAAATACCTATCTCAAATGTTAAAACTTATTTAGTAAATAAATAACTTAATGTGTATCGGACTTTACTGAGCTAAAGAAATTCTCCAGTTTTGCACCTGGCATCGGCTGAAAAGCCAATTTCTTTAGTAAATTGTACAGAGGATGTCATAATTATTATTTAGTGAAGAAATAGTTCACAGTATCTATTCATATTTGTATGCAATGCTCAAAACTGTGAACAAAAGACCTATGGAATAAAGAATCAGGATTTTTAAACACGCGAAAATCCTTTATGAGATTTGAGTCAAATTTGTTAACAGTGATCACATTGTCCCAGTTCTGTGATTTTGTCTTCATTTAGCTCATTTGATGATGTCTTCATAGACTTTATGGACTTCAGGGGGCAACAGCTTAGGATCTCAGAGGCATAAGACCCACTTTCCATAACCTCCTTATAATCTCTGTAATAATGCCTATAATATCAGTGTAACTTGTACCTTGTTGTTGAAATGCAATAAACTAAATCTTATTTAAAGCAGGAGCTTCTTATTAGATTACCAAGTGGTGCCCAGCTTTAGTAAGGATATTATCAAGCTGGAGAGGGTTCAGAAGAGATTTACCAGGATGTTGCCGGTTATGGAAAGTTTGAGTTATGAAGAAAAGCTGGAAAGGCTGGAACTTTTTTCACTAAAGTGTAGGAGGTTCAGCAGCAAACTGATAGAAGTTTATTAAAAAAATTAAGGTAGAGTTAGTGATAGTTGTCTTTTCCCTAGGATGGAGGATTTCAAGACAAGGGGGTACATTTTTAAGGTGAGAGGAGAGACATTTTAAAAAAGACATGAGGAGCAAATTTTTTACACAGAGTATGGTTCACATGTAGAATGAACTTTCTGAGGAAGTGGTGGATGTGGGTACAATTACAACGTTTAAAAGACATTTTGGATAAGTGCATGAATAGGAAATATTTAGATGAATATGGGCCAGGAGCAGGCAGGTGGGACTAGTTTAGTTTGGGATTATGTTCGGCATGGACTAGTTGGACCGAAGGGTCTGTTTCCATGCTGTATGACTTTATGACTTTAAACCTCTTTAGATCTGTACTATGAAAGAGGATGGTGGCATCAAACTGACCCCATGGTGTGCCATAGTGCAGACAGTTTAGTGCAACACAATGGTTAATGGTGAACAGTGGCACACATTCCATTCTGCTGCCTCCTACAATGTTCGTAGTGGTTGGGGATTGAAGAGTTCTTTAGATCAGATACACCTTGAAGAACTACAGAAGAACTGAACAGTCACAAATACCACAGAAGAAAACCTCATGGCAAGATTCAACAAAGTAGAATCTACAGTCAACACTAGAAATATTTCAGACCTGGTAAGAGACATATCTGGCAAGAGAATGTTCAGAACTCCATGGAACTGAAATATTAGTCGCCCCAAGCCAGTTGCAGGTTGTATCAGGTGCTGGTGATCTGTAGCAACATTCCCAAGTCTGTGTTCACCTGGACAAGGAACAGACATCAAAGGAACCGATATCAGAGGCCTTCTGAGTAATGTTAAAAATCCCTTAAGGGCAAGGGAAAGCCTTTAATAAACAGCACAGAACTTCAAGCTGGGAAAGCTAGAAAGAAAGAAAAGTGCTTACAGTGTAGATTGAGCATCACCCCTATGAAGAGCAGACACCACGAGGCATGCTACAGAATTGGAAATCAAGGGCCACAGAAAAAATTCAAACCAGGGTTAAAGACCTGAGGACGCTCAAAATGTCGGCAGTTAAAATTTAATGGAAGAAGAAAGTTAGGAGACTTTATCAAGGCTGTACAACAGACAAAAGATTCAATATAAAACCATGGAAGTACTTATTGAAACCACAGACAGCAGGAATCATTAAAAAGAAAACTCCAGACAAAACAAGGATTATCATGGGAGCTACAGGCAATGGGAATCAGCCAGAAAAAGCCATGATTGATATGAACATTGTTATTAAAGCCTCAGGCAGTGGGATTCATTCAGGAAATTCATTAAGGAAATGGAAATATTTCCTTAGGCCGCAAATAGAGGGATTCATCAGGTAAAGTTGCAAAAATGGTAGAAAGATTCCATTTTACTGCACAAATATGGGAAGACTACAGTCTATCTGTGAAAGGTAGGAATCTTCAATTTTGACGACAAACACAGGACAACCCTTATTAGCATCACAGAGCAGCAGCACTACTATATCTGCAAAATTTAAAACATTTTAATCATGGAATATAAAGGACCACACAGGGTGGACATAGCGTTTTAACCAATATTTAATTTCAAGATTTAATTTCAAGATTAGGCAAATAGAGCACACAGACACTTGGGAGAAAACATTTCTTAAGATACAGAATACCTTCCAAATTAGACATTAAATTAGAAAATTATTAAAATTAATTTACATGTATATACAACTGGGAGAAACAGCAGATATTTTGGAAGTAGTATTGAAGCTTTCGAAACTTACTTTAATTTCAGACCAATTAAAATTCTTGAAAGAACCTGTTTCGACAGAAGAGTTCAACAATCAGGGGAATCCAAAGCTGATTTCATTAATAATCTCTGCAGATTGATGGAGACATGAAAATATGGTGATTTAGAATCTGAGTTCATGACAGACAGAATTACTGTTAGAATTGCTAATATCTGGTTGACAGATTTATAATGATCAAAAGGAAATTTGATTCTAGACAAAGTGATACAGATGCTGAGTGAAGCCAGTGTGGAAACAACACAGAACAATCCAAAGAGGGAAGATTTACCTTATCACAGGAGATCAGTGGAAGTTATTCAGTTAATAAGGCATAAAACCACAAAAGACACACATAAGAAACCAATACAGTGACTAGGACAGACACCAGGTTGTAAAGGTCCTTGTCAGATCTGTGGAGCAAGGAAAGTTCACAAGCAAAGGCCATGCTCAGCTATTTAAAAGGAATATTTTATCTGTAACACAATAGGTCATTTCAGAAAATGTGCCAACGTAGGACATGGTCACAGAAAAGCAAGAAGTCAAATAGCTACCCATACAACGAGGTTAATGAGATAGACAATCTACAATAGAAGACAAGCCTAAAGCATTCCTCAATGAGTTAGGTGATCCAGAGTTAATCTTCTGGCAAGAGGATATTTAAGTCAACAGGCACCTTACTATTTTCAATTTGATCCAGGGCAGGTGTCAATTGGGGCAGGGTATGACAACCCTGGTGCGTTACTGCTCTCCGGATCTACAGTATCTAATGATGAAGTGCCATCTCTGTTACTTATTGGGGGGATATATTTCTGTTGTCCCGACAGCATTTTACACCCCACCCCATGAGGAAGTGAACAGTACACTTGATGAAATATGTACCGCCACAAATAGTGTTGAGATGGAATATCCCGCGGCCTGGTTCATCATAGCCAGTGACTTCCACCAGGCCAACCTTAACAGCGTGCTACTAAAATATCATCAACACATCTCCAGTTCCACCAGAGGGCTGAACCTTCTTGATTATTGCTACACAACCATCAAAGATGTCTACCACTCCATGCCCACCCCATTTTGGTATATCAGGCCATAAAGCTGTGTTCCTTCTCCTAGTTTACAAGCAGAAACTGAAGTGTGAAGATCTGGAACAGAAAGTTGTACATCACTGGTCTGAAGTAACTGACAGGCTCCTATGGGGACTGCATGGAGTCAGTGGACTAGTCCATATTCAAGAACTCAGTGGCCAACCTAAATGAGTATGACACTTCTATCACAGACTTCATCAGTAAGTATGTAGATGACTGTGTGCCAAAGAAGTTAATCTGAGGGTTCCCCAACCAGAAACCATGGATGAACCGGAAAACTCACTCCCTACTGAAGTCCAGATCTGAGGTGTTCAAGTCGGGTGACCCTGACCTATACCGGAAATCCAGGTGCAACCTTCGCAAAGCCATAGGGATGCCAAGAGACCACACCAGACTAAACTAGAGCCCTAGACTGACCACACAAACACACATTGAGTGTGGCAAGGCCTACACGGTATAATGGGCTACAAAGTGAAGTCAAATAGAATCACGGCCAACAAAACTCTATTTGATCAGCTCAATGCACCCTATGCTTGTTTTGAACAGGAAGTCAGTGAAATGATGTCACCTGTCCCAACAGCTTCAAGTATACACAGTGACTGCTGCAGAGGTCAGATGGGCTTTCTTGAGAGTGAACCCACAGAAAATGACTGACCTGGATGGAGTCCTCGGCCATGCACTCAGATCCTGCACAGACCAGCTGGCACGCATATTCACAGACAGCTTTAACCTCTCCTTAATTCAAAAGGACCGCTATCATCCTGGTGCCAAAGAAAAATCAGGCAACATACCTTAATGACTAATGCCCAGTGGCACTGACATCCATCAATATGAAACCTTTCAAGAGGTTAGTGATGGCACATATCAGCTTCAGCCTCCCAGAATGCCTTGATCCATTACAATTCGGCTACTGTCACAATAGGTCCATGGCAGATTCTATCTCTCTGGCCCTACATTCATCTGAACATTTGGATAACATGGACACTACATCAGACTCCTATTTATTGACATTAGCTCCACCTTCAACACCATAATTCTAACCAAACTCACCTCCAATCTCCAAGACTGAGGAATCTGCTTACCTCTCTGCAACTGCAAGGCTGGTTACCCAGCCCCTTACTATACTCCTTATATACTCATGACTCTGTGACCAAATTCAGCTCTAAATCCATTTACAAATTTGCTGAATACACCTCCATAGTGAGTCGGATCTCAAACATCAACGAGACAGAGTACAGGAAAGAGACAGCCAGCTTAGGGGCATGATGTAAAGACAACAATCACTCCCTCAATGTCAGTAAAACAAAGAAGCTGGTCATCAATTTCAGGAAGCAGAGTGAAGGACACACCCCTGTCTATATCAATGGTGCTGAGGTGGAGGTGGTTGAGAGCTTCAAGTTCCTAGGAGTAAATATCACCAACAATCTATCCTGGTCCATCCACGCCAACCTTACAGTCAAGAAAGCACACCAATGCCTCTACCTCCTCAGAAGGTTGAGGAAATTCAACAGGTCCTCAATGACTCTTACCAATTTTTATAGATGCACCGTCGAAAGCATTTTATCCTGATGTATCACAGCTTGGTATGGCAACTGCTCTGCCCAAGACCACAAGAAGTTACAGAGAGTTGTGAACACAGCTCAGTCTATCATGCAAAGCAGCCTTTCTTCAATAGACTCTGTCTATACATCCCGTTACCTCGGGGAAGCAGTCAATATAATCAAAAACCTCTCCCACCCCAGTAATGCTCTCTTCTACCCTCTTCCATTGGGCAGAACTTACAAAAGTTTGGAAACACATACCAACAAATTAAAAAAATACTTCTTCCTTGCTGTTATCAGACTTATGAATGGGCCTCTCATATATTAGAGTTGATCTTTCTCTGCACCTTCTCTGTAGCTGTAACACTATATTTGGCATTCTGTTCTATTACCCTGATGTACCTGTGTAAGATACGATTTGTCTGGATAGCATGCAAGTAATACTTTTCACTATATCTCAGTACGTGACAATAATAAATCAAATCAATATATAATTAGGTGGTGAACAATGGTTGACATTATTTGCTGCTGACAACATTGCAACTACATGGTCCAGGAAGTATACCACTTAAGCTTGAAAGTATGCTATAAGCAACTCTTCAATACATGAGATAGTAAAGAAGCTACATAATACTTCACAATGATGAATTCTTACTTTTAAATTTGAACGCATGTCTGGACTGTAATATTCTTCAAATAATAGAAGGAACAACTGGTCCAGGGACAGTCAGAGACTAAAAGTTGAGTAATATTCATTAAGGAATAGCCAGCAAAGAACAAAGAAAATTACAGCACAGGAACAGGCCCTTCAGCCCTCCAAGCCTGCGCAGATCCAGATCCTCTATCTAAACCTGTCGCCTATTTTCCAAGGATCTGGATCCCTCTGCTCCCTGCCCCTTCATGTATCTGTCTAGATACATCTTACATGATGCTATCATGCCCGCCTCTACCACCTCTGCTGGCAACGCATTCCAGGCACCCACCACCCTCTGCATAAAGAACTTTCCACACATATCTCCCTTAAACTTTTCCCCTCTCACCTTGAAATCGTAACCCTTAGTAATTGAGTCCCCCACTCTTGGAAAAAGCTTCTTGCTATCCACCCTGTCTAGAGATAGTAGGAACTACAGATGCTGGAGAATCTGAGACAACAAGGTGCAGAGCTGGATGAACACAGCAGGCCAAGCAGCATCATAGGAGCAGGAAGGCTGACATTTCGGGCCTAGACACTT